AAAAATTAGGAAATAACTAGTAGTCCGATAGCTCTTCCTAACCCAAATTCTTTTTGAAGATATATATATGAGTTGCATTTTAAATATTTCTAAAGACAGGACTTTTTATCTCCTGTTATTGATTTAGAATGGATGAGAAAACTCTTTCATGAACTGTTTAGTAACTTGTACTTGTCTTTGTGCTAAAGAACCAGTACTAAATGTACAGAAAACTCGGTTTTCCTCTTTTTCTTTCTTTCTTATTTTTTTAATGAATCAGTGAGAAACACAAATTTCTTTAAGCAATATTCATTATAGATAATATTCCTTCATTTGAGTTGTGCTGTTTTGAGGCTGCTGAGTGAAATGAAAAAAAAACCTTAATTTTATTGTCCTTGTGTTTAAATTCCAGTTGTCTTATTTTTATTAAATAATTCATGAAAAAGTTTTCTCACCCATTCTAAATCAATAACAGGAAATAAAGATTCCCATCTTCTAGAAATATTTAAAATGTAACTCCTATGTCTTCAAAAGGGTTAGGAAGAGTTTGATGACTGGCAGTTGTTTATAATTTTCAAAGCTTTTTAAAAATAGATCTGAGTGAGTTCCATATACCATGAATAACAACAAGACAGCTTGGTTAAAAAAAAAAAAAATCACATTTGTCAATTTAAGGATAGCCAATGTCCAACCGTATTATGGAGAAACAGTTTATAGAAAATCCTATCCTTTGGCCTTGAAGACTATATTTACCCTAAACATCTATTATAAAATTATGGATTGTTGACTCTTTCTTAAAACTGCACCATGTCCCTGAGTAATTCAAATAAGCCCTTTAGGTTATGTTGCATACAAGAAGGCTTTACAAGATCTAATATTTTCTAAACCTGTTATGTTCTTCGGTTCAGCAGAGCTCCCTAATTGTAGCTATTAGCTCCCCTTTTTTGTGGTCTGTTTCGTCAATAGACTATAGAGTGTTCAGTAAATTAAGCCCAACCAGCAGCCAACACATCGAAACAGACGTTAAATCATAGCTTGGCTGCCCTTGTTCATTATTAATATCTGTGAAATGGCTTTTGAACACAGGGACAGGATTTCACATGATGCACATTTGTGTCATTCTCAAATTTCCATACTGTATAATCAGGTATGTGAGGTTTTTTTTTTCCCCCCCTCTGCAACAGGTGTGCTCTTGTAACAAAGTTCAACCCCCACTTCTGGCATATGTGAGAGGCAGCAGCTGCGAGCTTAATGCCAATGACACATGGTTCTATAAGAGAGAGAAAAATAAATTACTTGTTCAAACTGTTAAAGTCCTGGGCAGACAGACCACAGTCGCCTGTACTTGTCTTTGTGCTAAAGAACCAGTACTAAACCTACAGATGACACTGTTTTTCTCCTTTTCTTTCTTTGCCATCCTTTTAAAATGCATCAATGGGAAATACAAATTTCTTTAAGAAATTTCATTATAGACAGTATTCCTTCATTTGAGTCATAATACTTTTTTTAGGTTGCTGTGTGAAGAAAAAACAATATAAATCAAGTAACACTTTATTTATAATTCACTTTATTCTTAAAAAGGATTTAGAGAGACTGTTTATCATGCAATGTGAACAGACTTAGTATGTAAATGGAGTCGTGGTGTGGGGTTTAGGATAAGCACTGAATTGCTAACCACAAGAGTAGTCATTCAAACCTACCAGGAAACAGGGTTTCTAAGAGTCAGAACTGACTTGATGGAACGTAGCAACAACAACTTAACAATAGTATGTAAATCTTACATTGTTTTCAGTATGCAAAGTTAAACGTTTATTGATAAGCCTCATTATTCCCTGGAGTCCTGGCATTGAATACGCACTGAACCACAAAGTTGGTTTGAATCACTAGATCAGTGGTTCAATTTCACCAGCCACTCCTCGGAAGTCCTATACAGAGTTGATGTGAGTTTGAACCGATTGGACAGAACTTAACAACAACATTATTCCCTTAGAAAGAACTTCTATCTAGAAATACACGAGAAATTATTAATAAGAATTATGATAATGTATTCTACACCACAGAACACAATGTTAATATTAATTAACAGTAACAACAATGATACAATAATTATGACATTAATGTTCAATCACTCCGCAGTCGCTTTTAGTACATTGGGGATAATATCCCTTTTTATATGCTAGCTTTCAGGCATTATTATATCTCACAATAGAAGAAACTCAGCCACTATCTTACTGCACAAAAAGCTTCTTGTAAACAAGAACACTGAGGAAAACAGCGGAGTGCGGTAATTATCTAGCTCTGGGAAACATTTGAAGTGAACATGTTTTATTACACAGACTTTTCTGGAACTTATATATACTAAAGCTTCCCCATCTTTTGCCACAGGGCATTTCAACAGGAATACTGAATCAAAATGGAAGTCGTGAAATGAATCTTGGTTTTCTTAGATGTGGTAAATAAATACATTGCAAATGTGATGACAAAAGCAACTATTTCAGAACTATCCTGAAGCCTCCTCAGGAATACACCCTTCAGGACGACTACTGTTGAGTGTGACAGGTAAAGTCTAATTGGGAAGAAATAAAGAGAGAAACCTTTTTATTTACTTGTTTTTTAAACCCAAAACCACAACTTTATACAAGATTTAGATTTTTTTGTGTATCCACAATAAAGCTGGAATGTCTTCTTGCTGAGAAATCTATAGGCAGAGAGATTAGCAATTCCATTCTCAATCAGAAACAAAGCAAGTGAAAAAGAACTTCATGACGTTGTTGTTGTTAGGTGCCATCAAGTCGGTTCCAACTCACAGTGACCTTGTGCACAACAGAAAGAAATACTGCCTGGTCCTCTGCCATCTTTACAATTGTTATTACGCTTGAGCCCATTGCTGCTGTCACTGTGCCAATTGCCATCTTGTTGGGGGTCCTTCTCTTTTTCTCGGATCTTCCACTTTATCTAGTACGATGTCCTCCTCAAGGGACTGATCACTCCTGATAACATGTCCATAGTTTGAGAGATGAAGTCTTGGCATCCTGGCTTCTAACGAGCATTCTGGCCGTACTTCTTCCAACACAGACTGGTTTGTTCTTGGGACTTTCAATATTCTTTGAATATTCTTCTCCAATACCACAATTCATGATAGATATATTTTTTAAAGTTTTCAAATGGCTTGTTTAGTACCTTAAGTTTTTATTAATGCATGTAAATAATGACTAGCCTTAAGGATGATGCTAACAAATTACTTTTAAAAAAAGGTCCATAAAGTATCGACAACTAGGAGGTAGACCTAGATATCTTTTAAGGTCACTTCCAACCTAGAGAGTCTCAAATTCTCTGACCTGCCTTTCCTCAGGCTGCACTTTGTGGAAAGTTGGGTGTTGGTGATAGGCTCAACTCAGCCAGAGAAACCTTTTATAAAACAGAAATCAACCCAGTGCCTTTCAATCCTCTGTCCAGTGTTCTGATGTGGTTTCGCCTCACAATCAGGATAACACCCAAATTCTTAACTAAGATCACCTTTCTCTTTGCTATGTCTCTCCCTCACCTACCATCTCACCATTCTACCCTGCCTCGATTATGCCATATACATCTCCTTCTCTGACCTTTGCCCTTGCAGGTTACTCTGCCTGGAATTCGCTTCCCTGCATCACTTCCTGACTCACTGCCTCTCTTCAGCTACCTCTATTTCACTGTCACCTCTCCAGAGAGCTCATCCTTATCAAGAATGCTTGCCTTCCAGAGGGAGGTCACGTTTGGTCCCTCATGTGCATTCACCCTCCATCTGTCAGTGGTAATTTGTGTGTTACTATAGTGAGGAGCTCTGGTAGCGTAGTGGTTATGAATCGGGCTGCTAACCTCAAGGTCGGCAGTTCGAAACTACCAGCCATTCCACAGGAGAAAGATAAGGCTTTCTGCTCCCGTAAAGATTTACTATGAGTTGGAACCGACTCCACGGTACTTAACAATAACAACAACAGCAGTACTGATGGACATGGAGTCCTGGTGTGGTGCTGTGGAATAAAGCACTACACTGCAAGGTCGGTTTGGACCACAAGGTGTGTACTTCAAACTCACCTGCTACTCCTTGGAAACCCTATACAGGGTCGCTCTGAGTTGAAACTGACTTGGCAGCCTGTAACCATTTTGATGAACAGGTTTCAACAGAGCTCCCAGACTTTGATGGATTAGGAAGAGAGTCCATGAAAGCCCTGTGGATCACAATGGTCTGATGTGCAACAGATCACAGGGATGGCATAGGGCTGTGCTGCATCCTGCTCCGCTACACATGGGGTTATGTAGTCAGGGGCAGACTTGACTTCAGCTAACCTCTCCAAAAACTGTCTGCTCTCAGAACTTTCTATATCATTACCCAGTTGTGTTTTTGTTTATGGTTCTTAACACTGCCTGAATTAGTCTATATGTATGTGTATGGAGTCCTGGTGTAGGAGAAGCACTAGATGCAAGGTTGGTTTGAACTGTAATCTTGGTGGTTCAGACTCACAAACTGTTCCTCAGAAACACTGTGCAGGGGAGTGGAAACCGACTTGATGGCGTTTAACAACAACATGTATATATAGTGTCTTTTTTTAGATTAAAATGAAAGTTTCAAGAAGGCAGGGACTTGTCTTGTTCATCCCTTTAGTCCCTGTTTCTAGAATGGCACCTGGCAGAGACCCCATCAGTAAGTGTTGTATAAATGAGTAAATGGATGAATTCATAAACCTTTTAGCTACTCCCTACTGAGGGTGCCCATGGCTTATGAGTTCAGCTGCTATATAAAAAGTTGGAAGTTTGAGTCCTCTGAGAGGAAAAGGTCTGGCAGCCTACTTCCCCCAAATCAGTCACTGAAACCCCTGTGGAGCAGTTTCACTGTGACACACATGGGGTTGTCATGAGTCAGAATGGGTACCTAGCTAGAGGAGAAAACTAGAGAAGGATTGTTTCTCTTGCCACTAGAGTTGGCAGAGAGTGAGCTGGTCATTCAAAAGTCTGCATGGAGAACAGGGGAGGGAAGTACTCACGTGTGTTTCCACATCACCAGCAAGGATCCTACTGTTCTTTAGGAACTCGGCCACCATACTGTTCATCAGCTTATCGAAGGCTTCTACGGAGGGTGCCACACCTTTGGAAGAAGAGTCAATGAAAAGTGACCACTGCCATGTAGAAGCTTAATATCCTCAATATCATCTTCAATCTATTCAGTAAGTCATTTATTCACTCAATCAATATATTTTTAAAAAACCCTTCTCTAAGAGAGGGGATATGCACAAGAACACCCACACTTGCAGATAATACCCACTTGACCTGGTTTCAATGACTAGATGACCAGAGCTCAACTAGAAGAAGAAAGAAGAGGAAAAAAAGAGTAATCTGATACAATTTGATAAACTTGACCTATACCTATGGATGTAGTAGCTCAAAAGAGGAAACAAATCCTTACAGCAAGAATCATTCCCACCCCCTCCACACACAGAATAGACAGCAATGGGCAACTTGGACATTGGCTACCCAAAATGGGGGGTGGAGGGGAGCTACAAAGGCAAGAAGTGACTGGCTTACAAGTTTTCAAGAAGGAACCTAGATCCAGAGGGCATGGAGGAAGGTAGAATCTCTAGTGAGTAGTATCCAATCTGTCTAGGCAGGGCTGATGAAATGCAGACAGGTCTCTTGTGATACAATAATGAATAATTGTTATCAGGACTGCTTTTGAGGGCTGGAAATGTAAAATAGACATTTTATAGCAAGGAGGGGAGTGATTAACTTTTCAGTCTAAGAGTGGAGGTCCCTAGGACCATCAATGGAGAAAAGCAGAGACGATGACCTGGAGAGATGGAGCAGCTGGGGGGACTTGAGATCCAGAGAGGGAGAGGGGCTATGTGTTGATGACTGGGGCTGGGGGAGGGGGGTAGGCTTGCAGGGTATACCCTTTGGTTGGTTGATGATGCATGGAGGGATTGTAACCATGGCAATGAAACGATATATGATAGAATGAATGTAAAACTAATGCTCTCCCATGTAAACTATCACATAATTCACAATAAAACATTAAAAAAAAACACAAAAACACCCTTCTCTATAATTTAGGAAAATATTGCTTCCCTATTTTTCATCCTCTTCAATAAACACTTTAACCTCTGGTACTTCATTTCAATAGTGAGGTCAAAAGAACCATTGCAATTTTACAGATGAGGAAAAGGAGATGCAAACAGTACAAGTGATTTGGCTAAAAATATATTGCCAGTAAAAGGCAGATCCAAAATGGAACCCATTAAAACAAAAAATACAAAGCCTGCTGGTATTCAGTCAATTCCTAGTCATGGTAACCTCATATGATAGGAAAGAACTGTCCCATAGGGTTTCTTTAGATGTAATCTTACAGAAGCAGAGTGCCATATCTGTCTTCGGTAACACCACTGTATGGATTCGAACTGCCACCTTTAGGTTAACAGTCAGGTATGTGCCACCCAAGGACTTAAAATGGAACCAAGTTTTATTAATTCAAAGCTGGGATGTTTCCTTCTATACCAACCTACATAGGTATTATAGCAACTGTGTAAATAGTCACTAAAGCTACCTAGGACAAATAAGATATTAACAATGAATTATGGGAATGTAGAAAAATAAAGTTGATTTTACATATTTTGTCTCTTCTTCACTTTCCAGAAGGCAGAGAAGTAATAGTGGTTAAGTACGAAAATGACCACTAAGATCACCCGTGTTGGGTTTTGATGCAACAAATTACTATAAAGCTGTTGTTGTTGTTGTTGTTAGGTTCCATCAAGTTGGTACTGACTCACAGTGACTCAATGTACAACAGAATGAAAAACTGCCTGCTCATGCACCAACCTCACAATTGTTGCTATGTCTTCCTTATTCACTGTCCAGCTTTCACATGCATATGAGGTTACTGAAAATACATGGCTTGTGTCAGGTGCACCTTAGTCCTCAAACTGACATCTTTGCTCTTCAACACTTTAAAGAGGTCTTGTGCAGCAGATTTGTCTAATGCAACACATCATTTAATTTCTTTTTAATGTTTTATTATGAATTATGTGATAGTTTACATGGGAGAACATTAGTTTTACATTCATCCTATCGTATATTGTTTCATTGTCATCGTTACAATCCTATCCAGGCATCATCAACCAACCAAAGAGTATATCCTACAAGCCTGCTCCCCACCACCCTCCTGCCCCGCCCTGCCCCCCAGGCCCAGGTTCATTTAATTTCTTGACTGCTGCTTTTATGAATGTTGATGGTTGATTTGAGCAAAACGAACTCTTTGACAACTTCAATCTTTTCTCCATTGATATGGATGTTGCTTACTGGTCCAGTTCTGAGGACTTTTGTCTTCTTTACACTGAGGTGCATCTGACTCATAGTGACCCTCTCTATGGTTTCCAAGAGCAGCTGGTGATTTGAACTGTCAACATGTGGTAACCAGTCCAGTGCTTATCTTATAGTGCCACATTTGGCCTTGTGGAAGTGGGTAACTGAGAAAAACTATTGAGGTGAACTTACCTGACTGCCAGGGAAAAAGAAAACATATTCTAAAACACTTCATTACACCAGAATCATCGATGGATGGCTCTTTGATCTATGCATTTGTGATGGATCCTGTTCCTTCTAAAAATGTCTTTTTTCATTATTTAAAAAAACCCCACAAAATCCTATTGTGAACTGAGTAAAGATTTACAGAGTAGATCATCAGTTTTATGTTTAACAAATCATGTGCTTCGTTGCATTTCAATGACTGCAAACCCCTCCATGGAACATCAGTTATCCCACTTCCTGCTAGTAATTCTTGTTTCCATCCCACCTCCTTTTCAACGCTGCTTCTGAATTCTGTCCTTAGGTAAATGCTGCCCTTTTGACCTTGAATGGTTGACCAATCCATGATGTACATTATCTCACTTGTGTCAAATATGCTCATCACAGGTTCATTAAACATTATAATGAAGTGTGCAAAGACCTGGGATTAGAAAACCAAAAGGGAAGAACATACTCAGCATTTCCCAAGCTGAAAAAAAACAATAAAATTTAAGCCTCGATTTGAAATACTGAATGATTCTCTGGGCAAAATATTGAATGATGCAGAAAGTATCAAAAGAAGATGGAAAAAAAAAAAAAAAAGAAGATGGAAGGTATACACAGAGCCACTGTGCCAAAAAGAAATAGTTGATGTTCAACCATTTCAAGAGGTAGCATGTAATCAAGAGTCAATGATACTGAAGGAAAAAGTCCAAGGTGCAGTGAAGGCATTGGCAAACAACAAGGTACTGGGAATTGATAGAATACAAATAGAAATCTTACAATAAACTGACGTGGCACTGGAGGTATTCACTTATATTTGCCAAGAAATCTGGAAGATAGCTACCTGGCCAACTGATTGGAAGAGATCCATATTTGTGCCCATTCCAAAGAGGTGACCGAATAGGAATGTGATAATCATCCAACAATATCATTATTTTCACATGCAAGTAAAATTTTGCCCAAGATCATTAAAAAGATATTAACAAGAAACTGCCAGAAATTCAAGCTGGATTCAGAAGAGGACACGGAATAAGAGATATCATTGCTGATATCAAATGGATCTTGGCTGAAAGCAGAGGGTACCAGAAAGATGTCTACTTGTGCTTTACCGACTATGCAAAGGCTTTTCACTGTGTGGATCATGACAAGGTTGGGATAATATTACAAAGAATGGGTATTCCAGAAAATTTAATGAGAAAGTTGTACATTGATAAAGAGGCAGTCAGTTGTTCGACCAGAACAAGGGCTATTGAAAGGTTTAAAATCAGGAAAGGTGTAAGCCAGGGTTGTATTCTTTCACCATACTTAATTCCACCTGTACACTGAGCAAATAATCTGAGAAGCTAGGTTATATGAAGAAAACTTTATCAAAACATACTAATGAAGAGTCAATGAAAGCCATGCTATTTGGGCCACCACCCATCTTGTCAGTTTGTCATACTGCCAATGACTTGCTACAAGCTATGCCACCAATATTCCAAATACCAGCAGGGTCACCTATGGTGGGCAAGTCTTACAGAAAATCTTACGGGATCATAACAGAATAGCATATGACTTGCCTGCTTTGAATACATCACCAGGAGGGATCAATTGCTGGCGGATGACATGTTTGGTGAAGGAGAGAGCCAGCCAAGGTGAGGAAAACCCTTGAGGAAATGGATTGTTACAATAACATCAACAATGAACTTGAACTTTCCCTAAATTATGAGAAAGATGCAGGGCCGGACAACAGTTCATTCTGTTGTATATAAAGCTACTATAAGTCAGAGTCTACCCTATGAATATCTGTCTATTTTTGTTTCTATCTGTCTGTTATCTATCTATGGTGTGTGTAATTAACAAAATGTTTGAAGGATGACCATAATTCAGACAGTTTACTAATTATCCAGTTTACTAACTATCTTACTTCGTATTAAGTAGGCCAATACATTGTCAACTAAGTTACATTAAAAGACATTACTCTAAAAACTGGTTTGGACACACAGAAGGAAACATTATTTGACGGTAACAGGAAAGAGGGAAGTGAGGGGAAAGCACTAACTAGATAGTAAATACGAGTTCATTCTGTGAAGGGAAAGGCAATGTGGAGGGAATCAGCACAATGTGGCCAAGGTAAAGGAAGACACTGAAAGGTAGGCAAGAGGGTCAGCGCTAGACTGCGAACCACAAGGTCGGCATTTCAAACCCACCAGCTGCTCCTTGGAAACCCTATACAGGGTTGCTTTGAGTCAGAACTGATTTGACAGCAGTTAACAACAACAACATGGCAAATTCTGGAGTCCTGCTGTGGCATTGTAGGATAAACACTGGACCAAAATGTCAGCTGAACTGCAGGACTGGCGGTTCAAACTCACCAGCCATATCCTGGAAACCCTATATAGGGTCTCTTTGAGTCAGAATCAGCTTGCTGCCACTTAACGACAACGACAACAATGGTAAATTCTGGACTGCTGCTGTGACGGTATAGAATAAGCACTGGACTGTGAACCACAAGGTTGGCAGTTCAAATCCATCAGTTGCTCCTCGGAAACCCTATACCGGTTCTCTGTGAGTTGGAGCCAACTTAACAACACTTAAAAAGAACAAGGTAAATGCTATAACATATACAGTCCTTCAGTAGCAGTAACAGTAAACAGTAATTTGTGAGTAGGTACATAGGTAAATATGTATGTTAAGTGGGTGAAGGAGGTCACATGGCAGGAAGTATAGCCACTTACATACATCTGCATGGTGGTGGATATTTCTACATAGCTATTTGTAAATGCTGCACATATACTCTGATATATATGTGTGTGTGTCAGAACCGTGACAACACCTAAAGACAATATAATTAGGCTGTCAAGTTGGTTCTGACATATATATATATATTGTTAAGTGCCATCAAGTCATTTAAACTACAAGGTCGGCAGTTCAAGATCACCAGCTACTCATTGGAAACCCTACACAGGTTTGCTATGGGTCAGAACCGACTTAACAGCACTTAACAACAACAATGGTGTGGCATTGGACTGCTGATAAGCACTGGACTGCTAACCTCAAGGTTGGTGGTTCAAACTCATCAGCCACTCCTTGGAAATCCTATATAGGGTTGCTATTAGTCAGACTTGGCTCGATGGCACTTAATAATGATATGTGTATATATATATATATATATATATATACACACACGAAGTCTTGGTGTGGCGCTGCAGGCTAATGTACTGTAACAAAAGGTTGGTCTGAACCACAAGGTCAGTGGTTCAAACTCACCAGCCGCTCCTCGGAAACCCTATACAGGGTTGCTATGGGTTGGAACTGACTCAATGTCACTTAACAACCACCACAATTATATATATATATATTTCTTTAACAAAGCATATAAGGTCACAATCACAGAAACGACTTAGAATTTGGGACTAAACCACTAGACCTGAAGACTAATGACCTCACAGAACATCTATACCACTAGGGCAAACACAGTTCATACGTTCATAATGGTCTACATTCTAGTTTGGTGAAGTAGTGTCTGGGATTTTAAAAGCTTGTGAGCAGTCATCTAAGAAACAAATATTGGTCTCTTCCCACCAGGAACATAGGAAAGCAAAGTAAAATAAACACTAAGACCAAAAGAACTAGATGGTGCCTGACTATCACACCTACTACTCTGACCAAAACCACAATGGTGGTGGTGATGACTGTGTGCCGCAGAGTCGGTTCCGACCCATAGCGACCCTGCACAGGGTTTCTGAGGCTGTAAATCTTGATGGGAGCAGAACGCCTCATCTTTCTCCTGCAGAACCTCTGGTAGGTTCGAACTGCTGACCTTGTGGTTCACAGTCCGATTCATAACCACTACGCTACCAGAGCTCCTTAGGCAGTCCCAAACAGAATCATCAAAAAGAAACAGCAACAGCAAAATATATATAAATAAAAGTAAAACAAGATTCAAAGCCAAAAAAAAAAAGAGAGAGTGAGAGATCAGACCAGACTTACCAGTTAGAAAGAAACTAGAACTCTGAGACTACTGCCCTGGGAAAACCTTCTAATTTGAAACAGAAGACATTCCCAGAGGCCACCTCCAGCCAATAATATTGTTGTTAGGTGCTGTCAAGTTGGTTCCGACACATAGAGACTCTGCATAGGGTTTCTGAGGCTATGAATCTTTATGGGCGCAGAAAAACCTCAACTTTCTCCTAAGAAGCAGCTGTGGGATTTGAATTGCTAAACTTGTGGTTAGAAGTTCAGTGCTTCTCCTATAGAGCCACCACCATACTCCTTAGCCAAATAATGGACAGGACTATACAACAAACATGGTGAAGAATGTACTCCTGATAATTTCCTATATGACATCAACAGGAAAACATTGGCCTAAAACTAAAGATGAGAAGACACAGAGGGACAGGGAAACCGGGCAAATGAAAATGGGGAACCCAGGGAGGAAATGCAGTGTGCTGATACATTTCGGGATTGCAACCAGTGTCAATTTGAGTATGAACTCTTGATTGGGAAAACTAATGTGTTATGTAAACTTTCACCTAAAGCATAATAGCATGCTTAAAAAAGAACTGATTGACCTACACCTATGGATGCAGTAGCTCAAAAGAGGGAACAAATCCTTACAGCAAGGATCTTTCCCACCCCCTCCATACACAGAGTAGACAGGGATGGGTAACTTGGACATTGGCTACCCAAAATGGGGGGTTACAAAGGCAAGAAGTGACTGGTTTACAAGCTATCAAGAGGGAAACTAGGTTCAGAGGGCGTGAAGGAAGGTAGACTCTCCACTGAGTAGCATCCAATCTGTCTATATGGGGCTGATGAGATGCGGATGGGTCTCTTGTGATACAATAGTGAATAATTGTTATCAGGACTGCTTGTGAGGGGTGGAAATGTAAAGGTAGACATTTTGTAACAAGGAGGGGAGTGATTAACTTTTCAGAGTAGGAGCGAAGGTCCCTGGGACCATCAAGGGAGAAGAGTGGAGAGCGGGACCCTACCCAGAGAAACAGTGATGCCAGAGACGATGATGTGGAGAGATGGAGCAGCTGGGGACTTTAGACCCAGAGAGGGAGAGGAGCTGTGTGCTGATGACCAGGGGACAGGCTTGTAGTATATACCCTTTGGTTGGTTGATGATGCATGGAGGGGATTGTGACCATGGCAATGAAATGATATATGATAGGATGAATGTAAAGCTAATGTTCTCCCATGTAAACTATCACATAATTCACAATAAAACATTAAAAAAGAAAAAAAAGAACTGATTTAGAATGATTTGGTATACCAGAAAATGTTTATTTAAACACTTATGTTAATTTCATTATCTGCCATTTAGTTTTGTTTAATCTATTGATGTTTCCAGAGAAGTCTTAATTACGAAGAAATACAAAGTTCAGTCTAGTATGAGTGGACTTCAAAGAGTTTGTGGAAATTGTCCATTATCTCTAAATTCAATTTTTCCACAAACTTTTTGAACCACCTCATACTTGAGTAAATGAGGTACCAATTATTGAGGCTCTTCTTTATTCAACAACACTACAGAATCTCCTGGGAGTTGGATTTTAATCTGGTGTTTTCAAAATCTTTACAACTGTGATCAGCAATCTTAAAGAAACGTCTGGAGACCACATGAAGCCCACAGTATAATGAAACCAAGAGTCTGAAGAGGACATGAAAACATTTTCTTACAAATAAGGCTTACCAAATTTCATATACCAACTCTATGGTTAACAAAAAGATACTTACAATGAAATCACAGATGTTATCTCAGCTGATGTGGGGTCTTCAACAAGCTCAGTAAGACCCCTCATGATTTTTTCCATTCATTCAAAGCGTTTTGATTTTTATTAAGTTCAGGAGGAGAGAAACAAACAAACAAACCCCCAAACCCAGAGTCTGTGCATTTGTGCTCTACACGGTAATTTTTGAGTCAGTATTTGCAATACAAGGAGGCACAGCTCCAAATCAGTCTGAAATTCTAGAAGCATCAATGTAGCTCTTTCCTGGCAGTTTTTTTTTTTTTTCCCCCCAAGCCCCTTCTTCCAGGCTTTTTGCAGCCTTAAGAAGCCTGAGGGGATTCAAAGTGTGTCAGATAAGGAGGAAAGCAAGTGTGACAAAAATAGAATTGCCAGATTAAATACAGAACACGCAGTTAAATTTGAATTTTAGATAAACAATGGATACGTTTTTAATATGTTTGTCCCTTGTATTGTGGCTTATGCAGCCTTTGAGGCCTACTTATACCCTTCCCCCCAAAATTGCGTATCTGAAACTCTAATTTAACCGGTATGTATTTTATGTTCTAAATCTATAACTGTAGACAAGAAAGAATTGGAAAACTTATTGTAGATAACTTAGAGAGTTTGCCATGTATGTTTTTGTTGTTGTTAAGTGCCGAAAAGTCAGTTCTGACTCATGGCAACCCTGTATAGGGTTTCGGAGGAGCAGCTGGTAAGGCCTTTTAAGACAGTAGTACATTATTTATTTTATCATATAATTTAAAAAGCACGTTTGGTTAGGAATGGTGGCAGTGGTGGTGGTGTGTCATGGAGTTGGTTCTGACTCATAGCGATCCTGCACAAGGTTTCCAAAGCTGTAAATCTTTATGGGAGCAGAAAGCCTCATTTTTCTCCTGTGAAATGGCTGGTAGTTTCGAACTGCTGACCTTAAAGTTAGCAGCCTGACTTATAACTGCTATGCTACCAGAGCTCCTTTTGGTTAGGAAAGTTGTTGTTAGGTGCCATCGAGTTGGTACCAACCCATAGCGACCTTATGCACAGCAGAACGAAACACGCCCGACCCTATGCCAACCTCACTACTGTTGCCACGCTTGAGTCCATGGATGCTACCATTTAGCCAATCCATCTCGTTGGGGGGCTTCCTCTCTTTCTCCGGCAAAGAGAAAACAAAAAATGAGATGTGACCACGTCACATCAAAGTCAGATCTGGCTCCATATTCAACTAGCTTCCTTTAAATTCATAGTTCCTAAATGTAATGACTTGTTCTTTTTTAAAATTAAAATCTACACAATGTCAACTATTTCCAATTTACATTCTAATAGAGAACATTAGCTTCTTTTCTTTTTTTTTGCCTGATAATTGCTTGGATAATATATTTAGCCATTGACTGTGGAACAGCCGTCTAAAACTAAACTGAAAGTTTAATGGCATTTAGCATGTGGCACAGATATTGGTAATTTTAATGGTTGTAACTTTTCCTTCCTCCTTTTCAGCAACTGCTTGCATCTGGTTCATGTTATGCTCGCATATAAACGAAAGAGTAAAAGAGTGGAGGAAAAGAGAAATATTTCTTATTTTGAAAGGAAACAAATTAAGTGACTCACAAAGAAACCAGCCATGACAACAGTTGTGGCCTTACCTCCATTGACACCGTTCACATCTCCGAAGTCCCCAGAAGTCCTGTGTGATTCTGCAAACAGCAACTCGAGCCGGACAATGGCCCGCTCCAGCCTTTCCATCAGTCCCTGCACTTCTGCCATTCTAGAAAACCACAGACGGGAGGCTGTGTGAGCTTCGGGAAGGTTAACAAACTGACTCCACGTAACAAGGAGGAAAAAAAAAATCACTCTGCTTCAATTACCTAAAAGAATATGTCAACATATCATGAAATACCGACCTCTTGGTGCCCTGCATGGGGAAGGCATGCTCTTTGGGGGGGTCTCCTCACAGTTGTGGGGAGTAAAACCAGATCTCTGCCACGCGGGCAGTATGTCAGACAACGAGGACAATTTTGATGGTGACGACTTTGATGATGCGGAGGAGGAGAAAGGACTAGATGATCTGGAGAATGCTGAGGAGGAGGGCCAGGAGAACGTCGAGATCCTTCCGTCAGGGGAGGGACCGCAGGCCAACCAGAAGCGGATCACCACACCATACATAACCGAGTGAGCCCGCGTGCTGACTACTGGAGCCCTCCAGATTGCGATGTGTGCCCTGGTGATGGTGGAGCAGGAGGGGGAGACAGACCCCCTGCTCATCGCCATGAAAGAGCTCAGGGCCCTAAAGAGCCCCATCATCATTCGCTGCTACCTGCCAGAGGGGAGCTATGAGGACTAAGGCATGGACGAACTCATCATCACCGACTGAGCCCCAGAGGCCTTCCCTCCCCACCTGGGCTTCTACCCTTCCAAAAAATAAAAATGAAAAATAACGGGAAATTCAGAAGAATGTAAAACTTGGAACAGAAAGAAACAGTAGACTGTAGTAAGGCCTGTGAGAGCCGGAATCCGACAGATCTGCCTTGTTTTTCCAGAGTTTACAAACTTTATTTTGCCTTTGGCAAGATGCAGTCTTACTACTTTTTTTTTTTTTTTTTTTAACCACTCTCTCTAAATGGAAACTATGTCTATTACTCCCTCTAAATGGACAATCTCCTTCTCTCGCAGGTTTCGATCTTAAGTAAGTTATTGATTGTGCAGGTTTTACTGTATTGAGCTTAATTTTTATTCAATTCAATGACTTTTCCATGTCCTCAGTCCTTGGGTGGTGCATGCGGTTAAGCACTTAACTATTAACCAAAAGGTTGGAGGTTCAAATTCACCCAGAGGTACCTCAGAATGAAGACTTGACTATCTGCTTCTGAAAGGTGACCACCGTGAAATCATTATGGAGTTCTGTTCTGTACACAGGGGACCTCTGTGAGTTAGAATCCACTCGAGGGCATCTAATTAGGTAGTCTGCAATACACAAATCCTCAAGTCTCTTTATCAAGTTTGTACTTGGATACTTCCTTGTTATAAGATACAATCTATGTATGCTATTGCTGTCTAGTTGGCATCAACCATGACAACCTTAAGTACAGCAGAACAAAACTGTTGTCCAGTCCTGGGCCATCTTCTGGCTGTTGGTACATTTTAGTCCACAGCTGTGGCTATTGTTTTCATTCATTGAGAGTTTCTATCTTTTCACTGATCCTCTGCTTTAACAAACATGATGCCTTTCTTTAATGATAAATCTTTCCTGTGTCCAAAGTAAGCAAGCCAAAGACTTGTTTCTGAGGAGTATTCTAGTTGTAAGAGGTAGCATATGAACAAGAGCCAATGATACTGAAGGAGGAAGTCCAAAGTGCACTGAAAGAATTGACAAACAACAAGGCACCAGGAACTGATGGAATAAAAATTGAAATCTTTCAAGAAAGTGAGGCGGCACAGGAGACACTCACTCATCTCTGCCAGGAAATTTGGAAAACAACTATCTGGCCGACTGATTGGAAGAGATCAATATTTGTGCCCATTCCAAAGAGAGGTGACCCAACAGAATGTGGAAATCATCGGACAATCCTCAAGCGAGTAAAGTTTTGCTCAAGGTAATACAGAAATGGCTACAATCATACATTGACAGAGAACTTCCAGAGGTTCAAGCTGGATTCAGAAGAGGCCGTGGAATGAGAGATATCATTGCTGATGTCCGATGGATCTTGGCTGAAAGCAGAGAATACCAGAAGGGTGTTTACCTATGCTTTATTGACTACACAAAGGCTTTCAATTGTGTGGATCATGACAAGCTATGGACAACATCGCAAAGTATGAGTATTCCAGAACACTTAATTGTACTTCTGAGAAATCTGTACCTGGACCAAGAAGCAGTTGTTTGAACAGAGCATGGGAACACTGAATGTTTTAAAATTGGGAAAGGTGTGCAACAAGGTTGTGTTCTTTCACCATACTTATTCAACCTGTATGCTGAGCAAATAATCCGAGAAGCTGAGTTCTATGAAGAAAAACGTGGTGTCAGGATTGGAGGAAGACTCATTAACAACCTGCGATATGCCGATGATACAACCTTGCTTGCTGAAAGCGAAGAGGACTTGAAACATTCACTTACGAAGATCAAAGAGCACAGCCTTTGGTATGGATTGCATCTCAATGTCAAGAAAACAAAAATCCTCACCACTGGACCAATAAACAACATTCTTATCAATGGAGAAAAGATTGAAGTTGTCAAGGACTTCATTCTTCTTGGATCAACTATCAACACTCGCGGAAGCAGCAGTCAAGAGATCAGATGACATATTTCATTGGGCAAATCTGCTGCACAGGAACTTTTTAAAGTATTGAAGAGCAGAAGTGTCAGCTTGAGGACTAAGGTGCGCCTGACGCAAGCCATGGTATTTTCAATAACCTCATATGGATGCTAAAGCTAGACAGTGAATAAGGAAGATCGTAGAAGAATTGATGTCTGAGTTGTGGTGTTGGAGGAGAATACTGAAAGTGCCATGGACTTCCAAAAGAACCAATAGATCTATTTCGGACGAAGTGCAGCCAGAGTGCTCCTTGGAGGCCAAGATGGCTAAGTTTCATCTCTCATACTTGGGACACATTGTCTAGAGGGAATAGTCGCTGGAGAAGGATGTCATGCTGGGTAAGGTGAGGGTCAGAGAAAAAGAGGAAGGCCCCTAACGAGATGGATTGGCCAGGTGGCATCATTGATGGACTCAAGTGTGGCAGCGGTAGTGAGGTTGGCCCAGGATCGGACATTGTTTCATTCTGCTGTGCATGGGGTCGCTATGAGTCGGTTTCAACTCGATGGCACCTGACAACAACAACAGCATTCTAGTTGTATTTTTTCTAAGACTGATTTGTTCATTCTTCTGGCAGTCCTCAAGTCTCTTTATCAAGTTTGTACTTGGATACTTCCTTGTTATAAGATACAATCTATGTACGCTATTGCTGTCTAGTTGGATATTCAATACTCTTTGCCAACACTATAATTTAAATGAATCAAGTCTTCTTCTGCCTGCCTTCTTCATTGTTGATGAACATGTATCTCACAATTAATGTGGTGGTTGTGTGCCGTGGAGTCGGTCCCGACTTATAGTGACCCTCCCTAGGGTTTCCAAGACAATAAATCTATATGGGAGCAAAAAGCCTCATGTGGAATAGCTGGTAGTTTTGAATTGCTGACCTTGAGGTTAGCAGACCCACTCATAACCCGCTATACTACCAGAGCTCCTTAGCCAATTCATATCCTCCTAAATGTTGGGAACTTATTTATACTATTTCTAATAATTCTTTCTGTTAAAGTATAATTCTCCAGGAAAAACTAAAGACACTGGTAATTCTTGTTTACTCAATTACATCAAATCAAACATCCCAGCCCAGGAGAATTATGAGTTTATAAAACTGTGCATCATTTAATAGGCAAATAGAAGCAATCATCTCCTGGAGTGAATTGTTTTCTACATGTTAGTAGTCTGTTTCAACTTTCCTTTTGCTTTAGTACTTTAATTTTCAATCATTTTGATCAGTGGGAATTTTAATTTAATTTAATTTTAATTTAAGCTATTAAAATGTATATTTTCCTTTTATAAGACTGCTATTTTTAGATAAAACTTAGAGGTAAGGTAGACATTGTTATTGTGAGATAAAACTTAGAGGTGAGGGAATCTCCAAAGCATTCTTGGCCGGAATGCATTGGATTTATTTGAAGCTGAGTAAGGGATTACCAAGCAGTGTTTCGTTCTGTTGTACACAGATGGCTATGAGCTGGAATGGGTTCAATATCACTTAACAACAACAAGTGATTGGGACTCCGGTGTACATGTTGTCTTCTTCCAAACACATCTTAAATACCCTGAGTAAGATCAAGGTGAACTAGTTGCTATTAAGTTGATTCCAATTTATGGTCACCTCATGTGTGTCAAAGGAGCTCTGGTAGCATAGTAGTTATGAGTCAGTAGTTACGAGTCAACCTCAAGGTCAGCAGTTCGAAACTACCAATGGTTCCACGGGAGAAGGATAAGGCTTTCTGCTCCCGTGAAGATTCACAGCCTCAGAAATCCTATATAGGGTCACTATGGGTTGGAACCGACTCAACAGCACTTAACAACAACAACAACGTGTGTCAGAGTAGAACTTCTGGGCTCAAGGTGGAAGAGGCCCATAGGGTTGTCAAATGGTAGATTTTTTGGAATTAGATCACCAGGCCTTCTTCCAAGAAGCCTCAAGCTGGATTTGAACCTCTAACCTTTTGTTAGCAGCTGAGTCCTGTAACAGTTTACACCATCCAGGAACACCTGAGAACAGGGTTGTTGTTAAGTGCTGTCTAGTCGGTTCCAACTCAAAGAGACCCTGTATAGAATTTCCAAGGAGCGGCTGATTAGCTTGAATTACTTACTGACCTTGCTGTTCAAACCGACTTTGCAGTCCAGCACATTGACACACAGCGCCACACCAGGACTGTTGAAATGACTCACTCCAGTGTTTGCATGTCACTGAGGCAATCTTTGAGGAATGGAACCCAGTCCACGATCAGGTTCACGGAGACCCAGTTTATGGGTACCATGACATTGACCGTATCAACCTATGATTGCTTTTGGCAAAGTCAGTCTGCTGCTCCAAGGAGATTAAAGAGTGCTGTATCTTCTCACTCTTAAGAACTTGGCAAGCCTCATTCTCAGCAAAAGCAGAAGAGCATGCTTCAACATCAGAGAGAGCGCTGCCTCAGAGCATGGGTACAGCATGGGTACAGATCTGAGATG